TGGGTGATCTACAATGACCAGAAAGTATGTGCCTCTGAAAAGCCACCCAAGGACCTGGGCTACATCTACTTCTACCAGAGAGTGGTCAGCTAAGAGCCTGCCCTCAACCCTTACCACTCGGGGCAGGGGACAGACCATCTGGCATGAGGGATGGGGGTTGAGGGATGGACTTAAGCCCCCTGCTCTGTACCCTTTTTCATTTTGTCCCCAGCAGCCGGAAAGAGCTGGAGGCCATAGGAGAATGGCCCAGCAAAGAGAAGGGGTACTCAGTAGACTTCGGGGATAGAGCAGGGATGGATGGGTCAGGACGGGGCCAACTGCCTGTCCACAGTGGGACCTTGTTGCTTCCTCTCCCTGCCCTGGGATCCACAGTGCTCTGCTTCTCTGTGATGACCCAGCCCCTGGAGTGGGGAGGGGTCCTCTGTGTGTGTGTGTGTGTGTGTGTGTGTGTGTGTGTGTGTGTGTGTGTGTGGCTTTATGCATCCTTCCAGGGGAGGGAGCAGCGACTGTACCTCCCCTCCCCTTATGTGTGTGCTCCTTTGTGGTTGGGCAAAGACGGATATGAGGGAAATAGGGACACCTCTCACCCCTTGTTCTTCTGCCTCAGCCTCCCATTCTGTCTTTGGTCCTCTGGAAAAATGCCAAAATACATGATGTGAATAAAAGTACAATGACTGGCTGGTTTTGTTCAGTTCTTTAAGGCAAACTTAGATTCCCTGGGGAAAATTACTGGCGTAGGGGGCAGGGAGGTGGCACGATAGGTTCAGAGAAGCCCCACTGGGGTCCCTTGCTCTGCCTCCACCCCCGCCCCCGGGCAATTCTGTCTTTAGTTCTAGAAGTGCTCAGAAACCTGACAGTGAGGTGTCCCCTCTGCTAACCATGTGCTTGGTCTAGCCCCAGTGTTGCAGGATAGATAGGGTCTAGAGCGGGTGGTGGGCAGTCAGTATGGTATTAGCTGACAGGTTTTACAAGGCAGCAGCCAATCTCCCCTTCCGCTCCTGCACCAGTATCCCACTCGTTTGCTCTGTTTGGCCAAGACCTGACGGAGGCCCAGGAATCACCAGCGACGTTTGTGAAACACTTGGGCCTCTTCCCTTGGGCTTGCTGGAAGGGCTCCTCAACCATGTCTGCCTTGTGCTGTGCGGGAAGGGGGCTCTGTCCCAATGAGACTGGTCTAAGGCCATGTTGCTGCTAGCTCCAAGGGAAATGCCCCTCGGTCTTCTGAAATCGCAAAGTTGGTTTCCCTGAGCGCGAGGCTCAACATCTCAACTGTCGAGCAACAGACGGGACGTTTGAGCCCCCCCGGAACCCCGTAGAACGTTGCTACAAGAAAGGAGAAACGTCAGAATATCAAAACACCGGGAGGTGGCTAGGCTGAGGGGGAAGGCCTAGCAGCAAGGGGCCGGGCTAACCATGGCGGAGGGCGGGAAGGAGGAGGAGTTCTGCTTCACGGCGCTCTATATAAGTGGCCAGTGGCCAGCGCCGTGCGTTCATACTGACCTTCAGCGAGTCAGTTGCAGCACGATGGCGCCTTCCAGGAAGTTCTTCGTTGGGGGTAACTGGAAGATGAACGGGAGGAAGAAGTGCCTGGGAGAACTCATTTGCACCCTGAACGCGGCCAAGTTGCCGGCAGACACCGGTGAGCTCCATTTGGGAGCGGCAGAGGCGGGGGGGTAGGTGTGGATCGGGCGTGGCAGCACCTACTCCCTATCCGAGTGGACCTGGATGCTGGCCTGGGGACAAGGGCCATTTGGTGTCCGGGCAGCATAGAGATGTGCTGAGATGGAAAGGCGTTTAAATGGCGCCCTGGGCCTGTGGAGCAGGAAAGGGCTTCGTGGGGTGGGGGCTGGGTGGAAGGTCGCCCCTAGGAATGGACCACCTAGGAGGCACGGTTAAGAAGCGGAACCAGTGTCCGGGCGGATAATCAGGAAAAGTGGCACGTGTCCCCCAGAGCGTGGGGGAGGAAGCTGAGCTTGCGCGGTCTCACAGCTACCTGCCCCCTCGGTCTCTAGATCCGTGCGTCTCTGCACGTAGCCCGAAACTCCTCCCCGCGCCGCAGCTAGCTTAGGCCTCTGAGCTGGGGCTCCTACATCCCTACCCCTCCACAGTCTGGGCCACTTCTATCTTCCACCTTAGGGACTGAGCCGTTTAGGAGTGAAAAGTTATCCTGCAGCTCTCCTCCGTCTGAAATAGGAAAACACGAGGTCTCTGCGAGCTAGACAACTCCCCCTGCTGCTCGCGTCCTGTCCTCCATGCTTCCCTCACCTACCCACCCAAATCAGAGAACCTTGAGAATAACCGAAGGGTATCGTCTGCTAATTTCTTTCCTAAAGAGCCCAATGCAAACTCCAGTAGCTGGCCTATTTTCTTGAATTAAAATCCTTGCCGGCTTGGAGAAGTGGGGCTAGGCTATTTTAGAAAGGGTTGGCTCCCGGGGAATGCTGAGTCTAGGAGGTGCCCATTCCCAGAATAGCCTGAGGAAATTAGAGCCACAGCTGTTAAAAGAGCAGAGGGCAGGGTGAGGGCCGTGGCCTCTCATGAGCATTAGGAAGGCTATGGGATTGGTACAGGCCCAGCCTGTGCTGTGCAGTGGACAAAGGTCATCTTTCTGGAGTGAAAAAGCCAGGAAAATAGAACCAAGAAAGTGAAGGCTTCCTTTGATCTCATTCTCAGAGGTGGTTTGTGCGCCCCCCTCCGCCTACATCGATTTTGCCAGACAGAAGCTAGATCCCAAGATTGCTGTGGCGGCGCAGAACTGCTACAAAGTGACCAATGGGGCCTTCACTGGGGAGATCAGGTGAGATGGAGGCCGAGAGGGGTGTAGAGGGAACCTTCCTTGTGGACTCTTGCTGAACCTTGGTGTTATCTGTTCGTTTTAGCCCGGGCATGATCAAAGACTTAGGAGCCGAATGGGTAGTGCTGGGGCACTCGGAGAGAAGGCACGTCTTCGGAGAGTCGGATGAGGTCAGTAAGCAGAAGGGGAGTAAGGAGATGCTTGCACCCGGGAGAGATGGCTCACTGTATTTGTTCTTTACCAGTTGATTGGACAGAAAGTGGCGCATGCACTAGCCGAGGGCCTCGGAGTCATCGCCTGTATTGGAGAGAAGCTAGATGAAAGGGAAGCTGGTATCACCGAGAAGGTTGTTTTCGAGCAAACCAAGGTCATCGCAGGTATCTCTGGAGAAAGGGACCTTTGACCCTATCGAGGGCCGCAGAGATGGGGTGGGGAGGTCAGAAACCCTGCAGCCTGCCTGATATGTTGGACCAGGAAAAGAGAGGGCGACTTGCATGGTCTTTATCACTTCTGTTCCTGCAGAAGGTGGAAACCCTAACTTGAAAATTCACTAGGGGCTGGTGAAAAGGCTCTGTGGGTAAGGGTAGGGTGCTTAGTGCTAAGCTCGAGGGCCTGTTTGATCCCCCAAACCCACATGTAGGAGAGAACCAACTCCTGCAAGTTTATCCTCTAGTCTCTGTTGGCATGTGTACACACACACATGCGCGTGTTTGCGCGAGCGATACACACACACACAAATGGGTGAGGAACAAAGCCCACCAGGGACCGCAAGCCGTTACTGTTATACCCTAGAGAGCATGGCTGGGCTGCTCCTTCCTCTTCACAGTTTTCTCTGTCATCTCCATCCTGCAGATAATGTGAAGGACTGGAGTAAAGTTGTCCTGGCCTATGAACCTGTATGGGCCATTGGTACCGGCAAGACTGCAACACCTCAACAGGTAACTAACTGCCCGGAAGCCCCAGCCGCCCCCACACCCCCTCAGCTCATCAAGAAGAGTGACTTGCCAAGGATGTTTATTCTAGGCCTGTCTGGGATTGGAGGCTTGCTATTCTGATGCCAGGACTTTTCCAGAAACTAAACTCTCCATACAAGTACCAGTGGGTTGTTTGCTCTCTTTGAACAGGAAGGGTCTTACTTAGTGTGCCTTGTCTTCCTAGGCCCAGGAAGTACACGAGAAGCTTCGGGGATGGCTGAAATGCAATGTCTCTGATGAGGTGGCTCAAAGCACCCGAATCATTTACGGAGGTGAGGGGGTTTGGCTCCAGCCAGGGTGGAAGTGGGCTAAGATAGACTGAGGCCCCATGGAGGGGTGGGGCTTAAGTGGACCAATCCTATTATGCCTGACAAAACCATCTTCCTGTTAATGTTACAGGTTCTGTGACTGGAGCAACCTGCAAAGAACTGGCAAGCCAGCCTGATGTGGACGGCTTCCTTGTGGGTGGTGCTTCCCTCAAGCCTGAGTTTGTGGACATCATCAATGCCAAACAATAAGCGCCAGCCTCCTCCCCTACCCTCCGCTAGGCCAGTACTAGGTTGCCCAGGAGCTTAGGAACTGCTCCCGTCAGTCACGTGCTTCTGATGTCATCTGCCCCTCGTTGTGTCCTAATCCACACTGTACCTTCCCAAACCTTTTACACCTCCCTGTAACGATTGGGACCAGGCCAACCCTTTACCACTTACAATGAATGAAATAATGTCACCTACTTCACCAAGACGCCTTCCTGGCTGGGGGAGCTGAAGGAGGGGAACTGATTCTGTCCCTTCAGGCCCTCGCAAGGACAGGAGAGTAAAGTCACCTTCCTCTTCCTTCTCAGCGTACACTAAGACCAACATCCTCTTGTTCTAAGGCCTGGGATGTCCCCTCTCCCGTAGTGCCGAAGCCCTAGTACTGTGTTTGTGAACCATCTTACATGTTAGGGAAATAAACACCTGGTCCTGAGCTTTGTAGTTTGTCCTCTCATTGCATGTTTTCTTTTTTTTTTTTTGGTTTTTCGAGACAGGGTTTCTCTGTGGCTTTGGAGGCTGTCCTGGAACTAGCTCTTGTAGACCAGGCTGGCCTCGAACTCACAGAGATCCGCCTGCCTCTGCCTCCCGAGTGCTGGGATTAAAGGCGTGCGCCACCAACGCCCGGCTGCATGTTTTCTTATAATTTCTTATGACAGTGATAGGATTCTGTGGGGGGTATAACAAAAACAAACCAGGCTGTGACAATACAACTCATCTTTTACTTGAAAAACATCTTTTTACCAGGCTGCCACAGCCTTCAGCTTCATTTCCGCGTCTCACCCATCTATAAGGGTTGGTGAAGAGGCCCGGCCTCTTCTCTCAGCTTCACTGGTTTTTTCCAGACCAATGGTGCCTCTCCACCTGTCCCCACAGTACTGATGATGACCAGGTGCCTGTGCCATCTGGTGCTACAGGGTCATTTGTAGAGCAGGTAGCGCTTCATGGCAGGGGGCAAAGGCAGAGTGGATATTTGGCCAAGCCGGGTATCTCCCAACGCATGGCGCACACACAGACGACTCAGGTGCAGAAGGGATTGTGGTTCCTCGGCTGAGAGAGAAGGAAGGCAAGGTCAGAGGAGGCACAGGTCCAGCCAGACATCCTCAAACTCTAAGGTCCTGTTCAGGCTCCCTAATTGATTCCTCCAATTCTGCCTCACAGCTCAGGGAGACCTAAGGCTCTGAATTTCTGCACCATACATCCAGTTAAGGCCTGGGAGCGAAGCTAGAGGCAAAGACATCTAAGTGACAAGCCAAAGTGACAAGAAGCCCCCTTCCTGGGGTCCAAGCTTGAGTTTCCATCCCAAATCATTGCCCAGAGTGTAATTCCCCACACCTAGTCCAGGTCTCACCTCTTCTTTCGCCCATGTAGCGGATGCGAACCTGGCACTGGCCCCAAACAGCGCTTACACAGGGATAGAGGGTCCTGCCCTTCAGTCCACGGAAGGCTGGTCCCAGGTAGGTGCCCCCAATAGAGTAGCCCAGAGTCCCCTCCTCCATGTCGAGAACCACCAACAGTCTCTCTGGCACCACTAGCTGCTCACCCTGAGGTCCAGCTGGGTACTGGGGGGCCTCAAGGCCCTTACTCTGATGATACAATTTCCCCCGCCCAATATCCCAGCCCCAGGACTCGCTGTTGCTGCCCAAAAGCGCCGCATAGTGGTCAACCTGCAGCGGGGCGAGGGCGGTGGCCACGCCCACCACGGCGTGTGTGCCCCTCTGCTCCAGGGGCCAGCTGATCTCCCAGGCATGCAGGCCCCTCGAGTAACCCCTCTTTCCCCGGACTCCATCAGTGCTTTGGGCCACAGGGCGCCGCTCAAAGCACAGCCCCCCTTCCTTGACGTCGATGTTCTCGGAGCAATCCTTAGGGTTCCAGCCGTGGCGTCGCTGGGCCCCTAGGTCAGGAGGGGGAGCAGACAGGAGCTCCTCCAAGCCCTCGGGAGGAGAGAAGTCAGGGTACAGAGCCTGCGAGGTGGGGGTGCTGCTGCTGCCCCTTGCTAGGGCCGTCTGGCCCATGAGGTGAGCAGCTGAAGGGATCCTCGCAACAGGCTTCCTGCAGAGTCTCTCTTCTGAAACTTGAACTTCCGGATCGTCCCCTGGAGCGTGTGGGAGGAGAAAGGACTGTGAGGCGCAGCATCTTTCCCTAGCGCTCCTGCCGTCCTTTCACCCGGGTGTGACAACCAGCCTGCGCTTGGTCCCCCCAACCCCCGTGAGCCCATCACTCGGCTTTCACCGCATCTGCGCCGCGCCCCCCAAGTTTCTCACGAGTTCGCCCCTCAGACTTCACGCTCGCCTTCTCCCCGCACCTCGCCGGGCTCCCCAGCCCGCAGGGACCTCGGCCGAAGCACGGACGGACGGGGGCAGGCTAGGCGCACCCCTGACCCGCGACTGCTTCCGGCTCCAGCGGGGACGCAGGACGCCGGCCCGCGCGCTCCGCCCCCGCTCCGCCCCCCGGAGGCCCTGTGGGAGGTTAACCCTCTGGGCACCGCCCAGACCACGCCCCCCACGCCCCGCCCCGCCGTGGGGACCTCACTGGCTGCAAGAAATCGAGGCAAAGAATCTGTGGTGACGCCAGTCGTGGACAGGCGCGCATGTTTTGTGCAGCCCACTCTAGACGGGTAACCTCTTGTCCCCTCCCAGGACTCGATCTTCCCCGTGGTGAGGCTTCCTCACCGCAGTTAACCTTTCCGAAGCCACCTGGCAGCTGTGTGCCCCGCCCCTCCCCCGCGTGCGAGTCTAGAATTAACCCTTTGATGACATCACCGCCTTGGAGTCTCGGTGGAGCGTGTTGTCCACTGGAGACCTTTGTGCTGCTGGACCAGTCATTCCCTAGGCCCTCAGAGGAAGAGGCATTGACACCCTTCCTGAACTACTGCTCCCATTCCGTAGAACGCAGGGGCTGTGTTTGTTCCCTGAGTTTCCTGTGTTGCTGAAATGGTAGTCATTCATCCTCCTGCCTCAGCCTCCTGAGTAATGAGACTACTGAGTGAATGTGCTTGAAGGGTTAGTTTTGAGTTAAACTAGGTCACCAGCTGCATTATCATGGGGGAGTTTGCCACTGAATTTTGACCTCCTCAATTATCTATTGATAAACCAAATATCCCATAATGCTACAGGTAATTTTCACCCCCACCCCACAGAGGTTTATTTTGTGGCCTACATTGCCCTGCCTCTGTCTCCTAAACATTAGAATTAAAATGTGTACCACCCTGTCTGGCCTGTTTTCAACCTTTGTTTCATTATTGTTTGGTCGGGTTTGAAATGGTGTCTTGTTGCCTATCGTAGGACAAAACTGGCTATGTAGTCAAGAGCTGGCCTTCAATTCCTGCTCCTCTTAGCTCTACTTCAAGCACTAGGATTATAGGGGTGTGAGTCACATATGGCTGCTAATTTTAACTTTAAAATTCAGATGTGGGGCTGCTGAGATGGTTCAGCAGTTAAGAGCACTGGCTGCTCTTCCAGAGGACCCAGTTCAGGTTCCCGCACCCATACGGCAGCTCATAACCATCCAATCCAGTTCCTGGGGGTTTACTGCTCTCTTCTGACTTCTACACGAATGTGGCATAGACACACACTCACAAAAAAAAATCCATGTAAAATACAGTATTATTTTTTCAAGAAAGGGTTTTTCTGTGTAGTCCTGGCTGTCCTGGAACTTGCTCTGTAGAACAGGCTGGCCTCAAACTCAGATTTGCCTGCCTCTGCTTCCCAAGTGCTGGGATTAAAAGGTGTGTGCCACCGGGCAAAACAAAATAGTCTTTTTAAAAAATTTTTTAGAGGTAATAAAATGCTATCCTAAGTTGCCATATATATATATATATATATATATATATATATATATATATATATTTTTTTTTTTTTTTTGGTTTTTCGAGACAGGGTTCCTCTGTATTGTTTTGAAGGCTGTCCTGGAACTCGCTCTGTAGAGAAGGCTGGCCTTGAAGTCACAGAAATCGGCCTGCCTCTGCCTCCTGAGTGCTGCCATATTATATGTGATTGTTTCTTTTTGGATGCTGGAATTTATGTATTTATTTATTTATTTTGTTTTTGAGACAGGGTTGCTCTGTGACTTTGGAGGCTGTCCTGGAACTAGCTCCTGTATACCAGGCTGGCCTCGAACTCACAGAGACCCACCTGCCTTTTCCTCCCCAGTGCTGGGATTAAAGACATGCTACCAACACCCGGCTATGGATGCTGGAAATTAAATTGAAGTCCTATATACTAAGCAAGCATTGCTTTACCAGTGTTGCTGGATGCATTTTACATTTGTGTGCACAAACTTGCTTGACCACCACCAAAAGGGTAAAAAAAAAAACTTTTCTGGTATTCCAGAAGGCTTATTCTTACTCTTTTCCTGATACTCCTAAGGGTATGACACTCATGAACATAATTTTTAAATCTTTTTTGAAGGGTAATTGTCATCTGTAGCTCTGTAAAACACTCTGCCAATGGGCCTGGAAGAAGATGAAAGTTCATTAGTTGCTTTCCAACCAAGACTTTAGGTTCCTAGTTGGGAAACAGAAACACAGTTGGGCATTTCCCCCTGGAAGATACCTCATTCTGGAAGACAGCATTTTTGCAAGTGACGCTAACAACACTAGGTGCATTTGTTGCCTCTTCCCCCAGACCCAGCCTTACTCATAGTCTGCATGTTTTGCAGATCGAAGTGGTTTCTAGAACCGTGAGTCCATTCTTGGCTAATCTTGAACTCTTTCCATCCAGAGGCTATCTCCTCTAGCAGGAGGTTTGAACTGAGACTTAAGACAGAACCTTAAGAGGAAGAAAGCTTCATTTTCTGAGTGCATGCATGCATGTGTACCATATCCCTTCTTTGTGTTCAAGGAAGTCAACTGGAGTTAGACAGTTGTGAACCACTGCGTGGGTGCTAGAACCAAACACTTGCCCCTAAGAGTGCCAAGGGCTCTTACAGATGGTTTAATCTTTGAGCCTTCTCTCCAGCCTGAAGACAAAACCTTCCCTTTTGTTTCATTCTGTTGGTGCTGGGGAATATATGCAGAGCCCGTACTCTACTACTGAGCCTCAGGCGCACCCTGAATCAGAGTGGCAGAGTGAGTTCTTGACTCTTATATAGCCTTGTATTGCCACTGCTGAGCATTTCTGGTTCATGTCTTCCAGCAATAGATGGCATAAATCTAGACGGGTTTGGATTTTGTTTGGTTTGGGTTTCATCGTTGTTTGCTTTTTGAAATTACATTTATTTTTGTGTGAATGTGGCTGTGTGTGACACACTTTGCAGTGTGTGGGGAGGTCACAGGATGACTTTCAGGCATCTGTTCTCTGCTTCCACGTTTGAGTCCCAGAGGTGAACCAGACGGCCAGGCTTGGCAGCAAGTTCCTTCACCAAGTGAACCATCTTGCAGCGTGTGTGTGTGTGTGTGTGTGTGTGTGTGTGTGTGTGTGTTTTAATGTATATTGGTGTTTGGTCCCCTGGGACTGGGGTTACTGATGGTTGTGAGCCACCATGTGGACAGTGAGAATTGAGAATGGGCTGACTGGAAGAGCAGCTAGGATTCTTAATCACTGAGCTGTCTTTCCAGCCCTTGGATTTTTGTTTGTTTGATTTGTTTGGTTTGGTTTCGTTATCTGAGACAGCATCACAGGTAGCCTAGGCTGGCTACTCTAGTGTGTAGCCAAGGACGACCTTAAACTCCTATTCTTCCTCCAAGTGCTGGGATTACAAGCATGGACCACCATGCTGTGCTGCCTCTCCTTGATGAACCACTTGAACTTTGGTGGAACTGTAGTAACTTTAGAATTGGACGGCCCAGTTTTAGGTATTTCTTTAATTGCATTTATTATTTTTGGGGGCTAGGGCAGCACTTGTGAAGGTCAAAGAGCAACCCCGTGGGTGCCAAGACTCATACTCAAGTCATTTAGACTCAGCCACGGGTGCCCTTTACTGTTGAGTCGCCTTGCTGGTCCACTTTATAAATTTCTGGAATCTTTATTGCACATGTTCTAATGTCTTGAAGCCATATTTAGATACCATACATACAATATATATTTAAATCCCATACATATACATATATGTGCATTCATATACATATGAAGTGGGGGCTGTTGGCCCTTGTTCTTCTAGACTAGAAAGACTGTGTGTTTGCTTGGTGGCAAATGAAGTGGTTGGACTGCTTTCAGATGGGTCATGTTGTATACAAACAAGGTAACTTAAAGCACTATAACCTAAAAAACAAACAACAACAACAACAAAAAAACACATCTAGCCTTGGGCCAGCACTGGGCTCGGTAGAACACAGATAAGTTTTCATCTTACAGGCTGGCCAAATTCTGTCCTATTTAATCAGACCGTTGTTGAGTTCACGTTCGATATGTCTGTATAAAATTGGACCTTCTTTTATTCTCACAACAAATGATTCCAGTTTTCACAGACTCATATAGAAGGTTTAGATACGTTTAACTTGGGAACCAGGACATATGCTGAGACTGTTTTCTATACAGCACAGGGAACATCACCAATGAAATTTCAACAATATGGTTGCCTAAGCAAGGCCTGAACAATGACAACACTACCTGACATGCCAAGGAGGAAGAGGAAAAATCTTCCAGGGCCCCACCCCTGGACGAAGAGCTAAAAGCAATTAATGGTTGCTGAAAGAGAATCAGACTTCCCCAGGAATGAGCCCTCTGCTTGGGTTATCCAACACCAAGTGGTCAGTTCTGAAAACAATACATATGAGTAACAGAAAATGAACTCAGCAGGTTGCATTTATATGTTTATGTGTATCAACAATTAAAAACAAATAGTATTATATAACATGTAAAACAAATAGAAAGGGTCAAACCTGAAAGGGAAGCCTATCTTCCAATCTCACCAATGAGGATGAAATAGCAACTGGGCTGAGGTTGAGAAATCTAGATTACTGGCCGCCCGCAGGCCCCGCCTCCGGCTCTGGCTCCGCCCCTCTCCCCTGGTGCCAGTCCCGTAACCAAGGCAACGCACAGGCAAGATGGGGGTGGGAAAGCTGACTCACTCAGGCTGACGGTCACGTGCGTGGGCGCATAGTATGCGCTCTGGAGGCCTGGGGATCTGAGCCTGCTCCAGTAGTCTGCCGCCTCGGTCCCTCCCTTGTACTGCAGCTCATGCTTAGGGCGTTAACACTCAGGTCTGGAATGTTCCACCAGAGGAAACCTGGGTGGGGAGGGGTTGAAAGCTAGGGAAGGCATTTTGGAGGAAAGCTGACCATGGAAAGCCAGAGAGGCTAGCAAGGGTAAGAATAACCCTGGTGTGGTATTGCACACCTGTAATCTTCGCTATTCTGATGGCTAGAAGGATGATGGAGAAAGCCAGCCTGGGATGCCACGCAAGTTGGCACACACCTTTAGTCCCAGCACTGGAGAGGCAGGTAGATTTCTGTGAGTCCGAGGCCAGAGCCAGTTCCA